ATAGTGAGACAAAACAACTATAGAGAGATCCGTAATGAGAAAAAGTAAAATCGAAAGTTTTGAGCTACAGGTCAGTGCATCAGCGTCCACACGCAAAGATTAGACTCTTCCAGTGATTTGTCAGGTTGATGTCGGACAGTCTAAAACTAGAAAAAAGCGTCTTGAAATGACACCAAAAAACATCGAGTAGTGTAGCAATCTACCTGAATACGACTATCAATTGTGTGTCAGAGTTGAAATCGTTAAAATTTTTCCTTTATTGGTAAGCATAGTAAGATTGAATACATTGATTAATATAGCATCATCAGCCATGCTTCATTTTTTCTGACTCTATAACAGAGTCTGAGTGTGAATTGGAATGGATACTGGAAGCTACACTGACAAATGCATCCACACTAGACTTCTGCAGTGTTCAGTGGCAATACTCTTCGTTGAATCATCGATATTACATTGTTTCTAAAGAAAAGAACAAGAAAAACATGATGAAGAGATTGTGTTCACTATGTGTACAGCTCAGTTTCTATCTTTCACACTTGTTATTTCTATCGGATGGTGAAGCAAAGTTAGTTCGAAGGCCAAGAAGCTTTCATTTTTTTGATAGTAGAAACATGATGGTCGAACTGGTATGGCTTGCGTCAAACAGAGCATGATTTTGTCGATTTAATTCAAGTTTATTCTTGTATTTTTTTTTCTATCATTGAACTGCAGGAGCTATAGATTTCTTTCATGAATCAAAAGAAGAAAACGACTGCATCTAAAGAGCAACAGAGTGAAGTATCTAAACACATAGCCTCATATTCAGCATTTTTGAAAAGCCTTTCCAAATATTTCTAGTTACACCAAGTTCCTCATCGAGATAAATCCTCTGAAAACAGATAAGTTTTTGGATTGGAGTGATTTCTAATGGCAGCTAAAGCAATATCTGGACTACGACGAAGACTAGCACTTATAATTAGCATTAATGATTATAACAATATCTTAAAATTAAAAAATTCACAATATGATGTGAAAGCATTGTCATCTTTTCAGCGACGCATTAGCTTCATTACTGATGAACCACAATTGGATAAAACACGCGCATAGATGAAACTTATTCTTGTCGATTTTGAACACTCAACACAATTCAAGGGTCATGGCGTACAATGAGAAGTATGTAACAAGATGTTCACCAAGAACTTATCTTTGCTGTTTAAATAAGTTTAATCTATACTAATTGTAGGATCGAAATTCTTTGATGTCAAAAGATTGTCCTGACATGAATGTCACAGATTAATAGAAGAAAGCTGAAATTTTAAAAAGGAATGCCATCAACGCACAGGGCGTTCTTAACATATCAAGTGACCGAAAACTACATGTTACTATTTTCGTCTTAGATTGCTGTCTACAATATTTCTTGAGAAATTTCGATTTGGATAAACATGCCGTCAATGAAAGCGATCCTAAATCAAACTGTTTCACCGCAATATATAAAGTAGACTCGTTAGTTGTTTTTGCTTTTGCACTTGGTACATTAGTAGATGATTGATCTGGAGATCCAAATAGTTTATTTATGAAGTATCTCCTGAAATATATTGCAACTCCAAAAGAAGATATTGTAAATATATTACATGACGTGACCCATGGAATGATGAATGACTCAAATTCGGAACAGATTCCATTTTTCAGTGTTCAACTATGCCACAAGAATATATATATATATGTACGAACAAACTAAATGTAAAAAGAATAACTTTTAATAAAGGAAGGAAAAAAAATCATTATAAGACTTGTTTCATCTGTGAAATATTCCAAGACAGTTAGAGCTCCGATAGATTTTTCTCGATCAAGCTAAAGAATATACAATATATTCCATTCGCTATCACTCTTCGTATGTTTCAAGCTTTTTATTACAGAATTGAAACTTTTATTAAATGATTTCTCATACAATTTCTCACCAGTATATACAAAGACGTTAGCTTTCAAATTTTAATCAACCAATTCTACGATAATTATGGAGCATATTCAAATATCTACAGTATTTCTATAGATTTATCTTCAATGTTACATAGTTCATGTGAAGAATATTTCTGAGACAACATTGTCTACAAACAGTTTTAAACAGTTATATCATATGATATTTTATGGAATTCACCTCATTTAAGTTGTTGTCTCAGTCAGTTCGAAGAGTTCATAGATGTTCAATAGTTTATGAATCATATCAAGCGAAGGAAATATCGCTAAGGAAGAGAACCTCACTACGGTAGTTCTATAGTGTGGTTATGAGCAAGTTACATTCGTTATATATTAAAAAGATCGAACGAAACAATATCGAAAATTTCAAGACTTTGTGTACTTTTATATGAACTTGTAAGTGTAAACGAGCTAAAGACTTACACCTACACTCATAGCCGCATGACCAATCACCCACATTCGCAGCTACACGTAAATTAAAATTTTCAAGTCTTAGATTGATTGTGATAATATCCATTTTTCCAATATTTTTTCGTTGGACCTTTTTACACCCAACCTTATTTTTTTTGAAAAAGAAACATTTTTACTACGTAAAATAACAGAGTGTATAGATAACGAATATATACCCTTATATTCTGTTTTTTTAAGTTCTGTTTCTTTAATGTAAAGTGTAACTCTCATAAAGTACAAAAAAGCATCATTTTTTTTGTAAGTATGCATTCTTTCTTTCTGTTACACCAACATTAACGATTTGAGACATTTGAACAACGACCGATTGTAAGAGGAAAAATAAACATCTGAACAAAATTTTAAAAACTAAGTTAGATCAGTGAGTGTCATATACATTTATTAGACTATATATACTTGATACAGAATCATAAAAAATGAAAGAGTCAGAAAGAAAATTTAAAGTGAACTTTATATACTTATCTCAACATTCAATAGATATTATATACTTTTCTTTTTAAGAGCGATTATGAGTAAAGAATCAAAAACAAAGTCGACCAACACATTGAAAAAAATCCTTGGATCGTTCCAAAAAGATAGTAAAGATTCAAAGCAACAGCAGCAACATGATGGTAGTTCATCTTCACCAAATACTATAGTTGTCGATAGATCTACGTTTTATTACTCTCCGAAAATTTCGGGGCTTACACATTCACTACAATCGACCTCGTTATCAACATCAGCTAACAACATGGATACACAACAAAATCTGGAAAGTACTAGATTGATTTGGTATGATTCAAGAATCGATAAAACTATCGATACGAAAAAGACAATGAATGAATTGCGACAAATAAATAATTATGTCGTTTTTCAAACTGATCTAGAAGCTTGCATTGATTATATTAAATCAATTACAAATGAAAAAATATTTCTCGTTACATCTGGAAGAGATGCTAAAAGTATTTTAAAAGAAGTCCATGAATTAGCACAAATTGATTCAATGTTTATTTTCTGTTTTAAATCTGAAAAGTATCAATATCTATTACAAAAATTCACCAAACTGATTGGAATTTATATGGACCGTCACGACTTACTAGAGTCTCTTAAAGAAAATGTTAAGCTCGTTGAAAAACATTTAGAAACATTCAATTTCTTTAGTCAACATAAAGAAAAAACCACAAGAGATTTATCGAAAGAATCAGCTGAATTTCTATGGTTTCAAATGTTTAAAGATGTCATTTTGAGATTACCAAGAGGTAATCATGCAAAACAACAAATGATTGAATTTTGCCAGCATTATTATCGTGGAAATGAAAAAGAATTAAAATTCATTCGTGAATTTAAACATGACTATAAATCGAATATGGCTATTAGATGGTATACAAAAGAGACATTTCTCTATAAATCAGTAAACAAAGCATTGAGAACTGAAGACATTGAACAATTACATATATTTCGATTTTTTGTTGCTGATTTATCATTGAATCTTGCTGCTGAATATGAAAAATTGAAAAAGAAAGGTGAAAAAATCATTATGCTTTATCGTGGACTAAAAATGGAACATGAAGAACTTGAAACTTTAAAGCAAAATGAAGGTAATTTAATTTCAACAAACGGTTTCCTATCAACAAGTCGTTCAAAAGAGAAAGCACTTAAGTTTGCTACAAAGCCGACCAAATGTACAGACAGTGTTCCAGTTCTATATGAAATTCAATGCAATATAGAAGAAACAGATTCAATTATTTTTGCTGATATTGCAGAATTTAGCGCCTATCCACACGAATTAGAAGTTTTATTTGATCTTGGATCAACATTTGAAATAGTTTCCATTAAGAAAGATATAGAATTAAGTCTATGGTTAATTAAATTAAACGCTAGTGATAAAGGATCAAAAGTAGCTAAAGAACATATTGAGCTAAATAGAAAGGATGAAGAAGAAACTAGTTTAGAACTTATATTTGGCAGATTACTAATTGATATGGGGCAATATGATCAATCATTAAAATATTTTCAAAGTTTGATGTTAAATGATTATACACAAAAAGATGATATCGCGAAAATTAATAATTTAATTGGATCGGCTTACTATAATAAAGGTGATCTTGACAAGGCACTTGAATACTATGAACTGGCTTATAATTTAATGATGAACGATAAACCAGTACGAATAAAAGATTCAGCAAGACCATTAACAAATATAGGTCTTATTTATCATCGAAAAGGTCAATATGATCGTGCACTTGAATTATATCTGAAATCTATAAAAATATTTGAAACATATTATGGAAAAGAACATATAAAAACAACAAAAACACTTACGAATATCGGTAATATATATACAGAAACTCGAGAGTATAATCGTGCATTACAATATTATGAAAATGTGCTAAAAATTCAAAAGGAATCGTTACCATCTAATCATATGGAAACTGCTATGACATTGAACAATATTGCAGTTGTATATCAAAAATTGAATGATCTGGAGCGTGCATCTGAATATTATCAACAGTCATTAAATATGAAACAAAAAATACTTCCATCAGATCATAAAGATATCACAGTGACAAGAAATAATATTGCAAAGATAAATAAAAGAAAAAACCGTCTTCAATATGCAACCAGTGATAGATCCAGGTCGAAATCCCGGGTTCAAAGTATGATTCAAGACGGCCTAACGAGCTCTGCTGTGGAACACAATCAGCTACAATATCCAGACAGTCGAGGAGAGAGTCCTGAACTTGACTACGAAGCATGTTGTTACCGATACGACAGAGATAGTCCTGTGCTTCATTATCGCGCACAGCTAGAAAGCAAAGGTATGGCGGATGAGAATAGTTCTAAGCTTCACTACCCATTTAAAAACGTCAAAAAACTCGGATTAAAATTATACTTTTAATCACAAAAAATCGATTATAACTAATTAAACTTATAAAAATCTATTTCAAATCCTCTTCGTCTATATTCAATTTTAATTAGCTCAAATTAGTACTCGTTCATTATTCAAATAATCATTCAACTTAATAGATCAATACTTATTTTTTGGTTGTAACCGATTCTTCCTTTTTCTTCGCAATCTATTCCTGCCTTTGAAGCAATTTTAATCCTTATTATCGAAGATAAGTGTTTTTCTCGAGATTCGAATGTGAAACCATCGATTTTCGATAGTTTTTTCGATTTCTCATGTTTAGATATCATGTAATTGCTATTAACCTAATGCTAAGCAAGTATAGTAATTTTTTTTACTCCTATACAAATTGCTTAAAACTAAGATGGTGCAATTGAAATAGAAATCGATCAAACTAAAGAAACCATCGTTTTAACTAGTATCATAGAGAAAAACGACCAGAATATGTTGTCCACGAGTCGAATCGTTTAGGCATATTTTATCTCTTTGATTGTGATCGCTAACTGTGTATCTTGTACATTATGAAAAAAAAATAGTAGAACACATGAGCATTCTATAGTTGCTTCCATAATCAACGAAATAGAAAAATGAAGCTGCTATGGAAACAAAAGCAAGGGTGTTCAGAATAAGGCGGTTGGAAGGCAGAGGTGATTGCGGGTCTGAATCTTCAGAAATTTCATTCTTCTCGCTGAATAATATCCGAAATTTTTAAAGAAATACTTAAAAATTTTCGAAAGTTTTTAGAAAACCTGTGCTTCCCTTCCACTTTCGCCACTTCGGAACATCCTTGGCTACAAGTTAGTTTCTGAACTGAAGAAAACACAAGATTACTCTAAAATCGATTACTTGCGTTAAAGCGCAAAATAATTGAGTTTAATGGATTAATACGTTAGAAGTCTATTAAAATTGATTATGTTATAAAATTTAGTCTGAAATAACACATTTAATGGATTTTTCGTGACTATTGTTGGAAAAATCAGTTTTAACATGATTTTTTCTTCATCTTTTAGACGTATACGAATCGTCAAGTTCAACATCTACCAGTCCTGAGCTTGACTACGAAGACGAAACATGTGATAGCGCTAGTGAAGAAAGTTCTCCAGCCCTCTCTGCATCAAGAGCATCAAGTGCACCTCGGCTTCAATACACAGTACAAACGGCTTCCAAGAGGCCAACTGTGTCTATACATCGTGTTCGTGAACCGATGAAAACCGCCGTTATCCGTCTGACACAAAAACAAACTACTGATAGTGAGGATGATGCCTAAGAACAATCATGCATCTTTTAAATTAATATGAGCCATCTCTACCTTGGTTTTTTTGTACGAACTGTGCATATTTAATACAATAAACAACGACCAACAATCTTTCTTATAAACTGTACTTGAGGGTGTGGGTGTAGATGTGAAAGTGTGGGTAGCTAGGATTTGCGGGTATGACCCATATAAAAGAATTAGATTAAGAATCAGATTAAAAATCGATTATAATGGCACTATTATAATCTGATTTTAATTAAATTTTTCAGCTTTAAACGACAGATTTTATTTGATTTTGCTGTTTTTTTAATCTATTTTAATCGATTATTATAATCTTTGTAGGTAATCGATTACAATAGATTAAAAAAACATCAAAATCAAATAAAATCTGTCTTTTAAAGCTGAAAAATCTGATTAAACTCAGATTATAATAGTGCCATTATCATCGATTTTTAATCTGATTCTTAATCCAAACTTTTTACATAGGGGCGTGGGTGTCTGATATAGGTGTCAGTGTATGGGTGTGGGTGAGTGTGGGATGTGACTGTTATATGGATGTGGATGTGAGTGTGAGTGAGAGTGTGGGTATGGTGGGTTTGGTTATGGGGTGTGGCTGTGGCTGTGGCTGTGGTGTATGCATGCGGATGCAG